ATGCAAATTATACCATGCCGGTGGAAAACAAATATCCATTTAACACTGTGGCAAATCATTGTCATTATATCTAAATGACTAATGCATCTTGTGCTCATCACACAACACAGGTTTTGTCAGGATGAAGGCCGGGATTGTGTTCCTCATCCCTCTTCTGTTACCCCTGGTCTCCGCTCAGGTCTTTCGATGGGGGCCCTGCCCAACACCAATGGTTCAGCCTAACTTCGAATTAGACAAGGTAGGTTAGTTTGGTTTGGACCAATCAAATAAAATGTTGGATTTAGTTCTGGTTCACTTTTTAACTTTCATGTTTAAAGCCAAATATAAAGAATTTATTAACCTTAAGGCTTTTATTTTTAGACAAAATTGTGCTGAACAACACGCTCATTGCTTTTACACTCTATTGTTATCAGTTATTTTTACATGCTGTCTGGAACACTCACTTATGATTGGTCAGTGGCAACAATTAAAATGTATTATTCCCAGTTAACAACCTCTAAATAAGGCAACCTCATCTGGGAACTTCAAATTACTTTGACAGTTGGTAAATACATTCACAATTTAAGGTTCATATCCATAAACTTAGCCTGCTTCCACATACAGGGTTCATACAGTCATGGAAAACCTGGAAAAGTCATGTAATTTTGACATGGCATTTTCCAGGACTGGAAAAGTTTTGGAAAAACAGAAATGCCCACAAAGGTTTGGAAAAGTCATGAAAAACAGTTTTCTGTATACTTGAATACAGGTTATTTACTTATTTTCTGTCCTTGGCCAATCACATACTCTCACATTATTAGTGCAATGTAAGCATTATCAACATTTTATTTTACTGAGATGTAAATATAAATTGAAACTAAATTGATTGTTGCGTGTTTTATGATATGCTGTAATAAATTTGAACATGCACTGTAGAAAAGCAGTAAAAATGTGTATGAATTCTGCACGTCTGTCACGGCATAAGTTTTGACTGTTTTGAACTGTTTGGCACCGTCTTCTTGTGAATAAATAACATGTAGGTAGTTCTATGCTTCATTCAGCCAGTTTCGTTTCTGTCAGTTTTCCTTTTTTGATGGTTTGGCGCCATCTTGTGACTGAATAGTGCGCATGTTTGTGCAACGTACTTCAACAGCTGTTTTCGTTTCTGTCAGCTTTGCTTTTAATTGAATAATTAATAAACTATTACACCTCAAAACATTATTTTTTTGTGTCTAATTTTTATGTTTTGTGGAAAGTAGCCGAGTAATAAGCTGGATAAAATACATTCAGGTGGTTGTTTTCACAGAATGAAGTCCTGGCTTACATTGTAAATAAAATACTGGGTTCCACATAATTTCTTCATGCTGTTTCAACCCAAACCGATTAAGTTAACTTAATAATGTTTACTAATTTATCTGGATTAACATAAAACAATTAACTTGTTCACAAAAAATAAGAATTGTGTTGTTTCAACTCATTTTAAATAAGTAGTTTGAACAAGCTTTTTTTTTTTTGAGTGTACAACAGTTAAAAAAACATACAACATACAACAGCTGATAAGCCTGTCAGGATTTATGCTGCGATAACATGCTCCTGAATGTACTTTATCCCTTATATAACAAATGAATAAAATATTTAAACATTTTCTGGAATTTTATCAGATTGACAAATATTCAAATCATCTACAAAGTGAATGTGTTTTCGCTGCCTGCATTCAGCTGTGAATTGAGCATTGTTATAACAGCATCCTGAAACAATGTGTCTTATGCTTGTTTAGAGGGTTTTGCCCTGTGCTGTACTCACATTTTCTTCAGTTCATTTAAGTTTGTTCAGAAGCAAATCAAGATCCATCTTTTACTAGTCTGCTTGTTTGGTCCACACAATATTTTAGATGGCAACATTCATGTTGACCTGCACTTATTTATATTAGACACTAGTATATTATTTAATTATTACTAGTAAGTAGTCACAACTTGCTGCTATTTTAAGGGCTGTGGTAGATTTCCTTAAAAAAATCTATTGAAAAGCAGTAGTATCTATTAGTAGCTAATTTTCCTTTTTGATTGAACCATGGCTTTGCTTTTCGTTTCAAGTATCTTGGAAAGTGGTATGAAATCGAAAAGCTCCCAGCATCCTTTGAGAAAGGCAAGTGTATTGAGGCAAACTACATGCTCAGACCTGACAAGACCGTCCAAGTTCTCAACATTCAGACATAGTGAGTCATTTATTAACCAAATCAAATCAAATTTTAAATCTATATGTTGTCACCTTTGCTTATTGGTGTGTGTTTATATATAACAGCAAAGGAAAAATCAGAAAAGCAGAAGGCACGGCAATCATCCAGGATATAAAGGAGCCGGCTAAGCTCGGAGTCAGTTTCTCCTATTGTAAGTTATTGAATTTAATTGTGTGTGATTCATTTTTCAAACATCAAAAATTGACCGTCTCTTTTTTTTTATTTACAGTCACACCTTATGCCCCATACTGGATCCTGTCCACTGACTACAACAGCATATCTCTAGTTTATTCATGCACTGATGTTCTGCGGCTGTTTCATGTGGATTACGCCTGGATATTGTCACGATCACGCTTTCTGCCTGCAGAGGCCGTCTATCATGCCAAAGAAATCTTCTCACGTGATAACATCGATGTGAGCAAAATGTTTGCTACAGATCAGCAAGGATGTGATAATCCCATTTAAACAGCAAAGGCTAATATATACATTTATATTTCAGAGAACGAGAGAAAATGGCTTGAATTATGATTATAAATATGTTTGTGTTGCGTAAAATCTAACACATAATATATGCTTTATGCAGAATTTTGCACTACCAAAAATAACAAACATTAGCTATTTGAAGTTCTCTTCTATGTCTTTCCTTAATTTTAATAAACAGTTGTTTATTTGTTAATACACTGGAGTCTTGTTCTACACAATTAAATAGATATGTACTGTATATACCATAGATAAATGCTGGGCCTTTCTAAATGCTTTGTGGAGTTTGGATTTCTATGGAAATAATAATACATTAAATATAATGATGTTAAAATGCTTATTTTGATGTTTATGTGTTGGATGAGGCATCTTATTAGTGTCTGCACCAAATGCAATTGACAAATGTGCTTTTATATTTATAGAAAAATATGAAATGCAAGTAAAGGGTCTATTGATTAAAAACAAATGTCAAAAATATTTTATCATCGTTCAGTCCAACCTTTATATAAAAAAATAATCAACATATTCATCCTCACACTAACTTTAGCTTAATTTTAAATGATTAAAAACTGATAAATGTGCAAAGCCTATAGTGGATTGAAGGATAGTTAGAAGGTATTTAATAGATAATTAATTATTAGAGTCGGGTGGCACAGTGGGTAGCACTGTCGCCTCACAGCAAGAAGTTCACTGGTTCAAGCCTTGGCTGAATAGGTTGAATTTCTGTGTGGAGTTTGCCTGTTCTCCCTGGGTTTCCTCCTGGTGCTCCAGTTTCCCCCATATGTCCTAAGACATGCGCTATGGGGGAATTGGGTAAGCTAAATTCATTCATTAATTCATTTTCTTGTTGGCTTAATCCCTTTATTAATCTGGGGTCGCCACAGGCGAATGAACCGCCAACTGATCCAGCAAGTTTTTACGCAGTGGATGCCCTTCCAGCCGCAACCCATCTCCGGGAAAGTAAGCTAAATTGTGCGTAGTGTATATATGCGAATGAGAGTTTATGGGTGTTTCCCAGTACTGGGTTGCAGCTGGAACGGCATCCGCTGTGTAAAACATATGGTAGATGAGTTGGCGGTTCATTCCGCAGTGGCGACCCCAGATTAATAAAGGGACTAAGCCGAAAAGAAAATGAATAAATTATTAGAGCCTTTTAGTATGTCATATCCTCTTGTGACCCCTCCCCTTGACTTGTGTCCACTGTTGTGGACATTGTGTTTTCATAAATTTTCTTTGAATTTTTTGAGCTACTCTGTCAAGTTCTGTTGTACTGTTCAGAGGACATCCTGGACTCTCTAGTGATATGTCATTTGATTGGCTGGTCTGCTAGGAACCACTTCTTACACTGCAACCAAAATGGCCGACATACAAAAAAGCACATGTTATGGGAAGAAGAGAGGCATGTAAAATTTAGCTTTTTAATTTTATTTTTTTTTTTTTTACAATTATTATTATATTTATATATGTGTTAATTAAAGTGTCAGGAACAATACATTTAGCTCTTAAATCAGTTAACTTGTTTGTATTTCAAAATATCATTCTTTTTAAATGTCCACTATAGTGGACAACAGGACCATCTTAATGTAATTAATGACTGCATGTTGTAGCAGGCAGAACTGAAACAGAAAGGATACTTTATAGTTGAGGGAGACTCTGACTTAGAGTTTGACAATTAGAGAATTAGAGACGATTAGAGAATGACAACAAGTTTTAAATCGCTTTTATGTTAAATAATTTGGATTAACATCACTTCCTTTTTTTGAGTTTGGTTCTTTTTCAGACTAATCTGTTTCAGGAATCTTAAGACAAAAGGAAAAAAATGGCTTTTGTTTAGTTTTTATTACATTAACGTTGGATTAATATTCCTTTACAGCTATATCCTGTACAGTTTTGTTGTCTGAGTTTGGTGGTCGTTTTGAACTAAAATGGTCCTGTGGTCTACTACATTTGACATGATGTAAAATTAAAAATAAAAACTAAATGTAAAAAAAAAAATGTAGAACCTTTTTTTTTTTATCTCAAAGGATGTAGGAAATAACAGAAAAAAGAAAAGAAAAAATTATTTGGGTCTTAAGAGGATAAAACTACTTCTGTTGTAAACATGACAAGATTTAATAGTAGATAATGTATTTACACAAATAGATATATTAGTGGGTGTCTTCTGATTTGAGTGTGTTGATGCTTCAAATTAGAAGGATAAACTAGTATGAACAGTGCATCATGCTTAAGGTGGGTTTTGATGATGTAAATTTAGTTTGGGAGGGGACAGAGTTTCCTAAATTGGGGTCCAGTCTGCAAAACCAGTGAAACACAACATCTTCTCAGCTCCAAGAAAAGAACATACCTCATACAATCAACTGCCGAGGAGGTAATGTTATTTCCAAATCAATCGGCAATATGTTTTTAATGAAATGGATGCATGAATATAGTTTAGCATGCTTATTTTTCAAGCTCACATCTCTTGTAAAATTTATTTAGTACATAAACTTCTTTTTTTTCAGGCAAGAATGAAGTGGAGTATGTTTTTTTGTGTTTTTCTGCTATGTTTTCTTGCTAATAATCTCAGTGGTAAGTAGTTCATATTACTCGTATTACTTTCATTATCATATTTGTTTTCAAAGCCATGTCATGTTTCCAGAAAAAGATAGCATATAATATGCTAGAGCAAAATATTCCATATTATGACAAATTTTATTAACTTATGTTAAATATAAATGTAGAATTTTTAAATAAAAACTGCAAAATTTTACATTTATATATATATATATATATATATATATATATAAAAGCAATGAAGGCTTGAGCTGTGTGTTCATCAGGAATAATATTTGAGGAGGAAACTCACACATTTCCTGAATCCCTCTGGAGATCCTCAGTTTTCTATGGATGAATCAGCTCTTTGTTAGGGAAGATTTCAGATTTTATTCACTTTCTTTCTTTTTTCGCCTTTCACAGATGCCAGAGTCATTCCTGAAGGAGGTAAACAGATTATTTACAACTTGTTTACACACCATTTGCTGTGCTATATTAATCGAGTAATCCATTGATTAAAGACCTGATTATAATGCTTTTATTTGAACAAATTACTGGATTGATTGTCATGTTTGTGCTGGTTTGGTAATTGTATTCACTACATTAACATTGTTGGGGTGTTTGAGGAGACAAAGAGGCTCATTTTAACATGATTTCTGCAGTTACACATCAGCAATTCAGGAATGCAATGAATACACAAGCTCTATTTTTTTGCTCTCTCTCTCTCTCTCTCTCTCTCTCTCTCTCTCTCTCTCTCTCTCTCTCTCTCTCAGTACCCTATGAAAATCCCCCGGCTGTTCCCTACTGGTCATATTCCACCTCAGATTTCTGGAACTATGTGGAATATTTCCGCAGCATTGGGGCCTACGACCAGATCAATCAACTGGCCAGAACTTTCTTCGCCCATCAGCATCTGGGAGACACCCTGGGTTATGAAGTGGCTGAGCAGCATGAACATTAAAAGTGTCACTGTATAACTACTAAACACCATTTACAGACCTATAATGATGAATATTGTGCCCTATCCTTAAACATATTACTATAAACATGTATAAACCTGTTAATGGTTCATTGTAGTGTGTTTAACTGCTTAGTATTGCATGATTGAGTTGTTGACAAATGCAGTAACAAATGTATGGAATAAAACCATAAATGTAAATCTGATGTGATAATATTACTTTAACACCAACACTATAGTAAACTAACAATCATGAGGACCAGTTCTCCAACCGGGCCAGTGGGACCCGTTTTCGAGCCGGTCACATTTTGACGTTACACAATTAATGAGTCGATTTGGGAAATCGATTCATTAGAGCAATTTGTTCTAAAGAATCGGATCCTGTCTTTGAAACATTGAACTAAATAAAAAATATTCAGCCTCATTTGGCTGTTTATATCGGTGCTTTATTTTACGAACAAATGATTCATTTCTAAGTGTTTAAATGATTTATAATTGTTAAGACATATGTAGGATGACAATCAATTTATTTAATTATCCAATATGTTGGCTGTAGACAGTATAGAGTAAGCTTTTAAAATAAATTATAATGACTATTCCATGATTATTTGAATGATTTAAGCACACACTTGCATTTCGTATTATTCTTTATGTAAAATAAATTATATTTTGTAAATTTAACTTAACATGGACACTGAAATGTATATTTTGTTAAATCAGTAGCTAAAGTTTTCCAGAAGAAATAGGGTAAAAAATAAAGATTCGATTCAAAAGCATCAGTTCACGAATCGGATCGAGAATCAAAACACCACCGGAAAGAGAGAGACGCGCTGAAGGGATTGTTTTGGTGAATGTAACAGCGAGCTGAAAACAACATATATTCCGTTCAAATTATCATCTAATTTTCACCGATTTATAAATACCTGTGAAAACATTATGAAGCCAGCAGTTGACGAAATGTTTCCTGAGGGAGCGGGCCCGTATGTGGATCTGGATGAGGTTGGTGTTGACATGTTTTTGTGCTGATGTGATGAGATGTTTTAGAATATGCATCTGTAAGTGTAAGTGTACATGCTTGTATATTATTAAACAGGTTTATGTATTATTTAATTTCAGTATGTGTACATCACGACATTATGTAACGCTAACGTTAGCTTTTTTTCTTCACATAAGTTACAGGCGCTATGTTATTCGTTCAATGCACTATTTGTTAATATTTGTTATAAAAGTGACACCTTTTATTTTAATTGTCTGAAAAGATATTTTAAAATAATGTCTTTTTTAATTATGTCTTTTTTTGCTGTTGTTCAGTATTGATATTGTAGTGTTATGCGTTGACAGGCAGGGGGAAGCTCGGGTCTACTAATGGATCTGGCCGCCAATGAAAAGGCAGTTCACTCAGACTTTTTCAATGGTGAGATTCACAAAATCAGTATGACTGTTCTATAACATTTCTTACTCTTTTTCCTAAAAACAACCACAAATTGCAGTGATAAATAGCACAAAGCAGCATTTTTAATTTCTTGGGTGTTAGAAATCGTGTTGTTTTAACCAATTCTTGTGTGGAACTTAATTTAAAGCTTGTAGTTTTATGTATTTTCACTTTAATTAATTTATATTGATTCTTAAATCTCAACATAGCTCTTTTTGGTCTGTGCTGCATGAATAAAACTACTCTAAACATTATATAGCACAACTCGTATTCCAGCAATATGGATGTGACATTTACTGTAAAATCTCAAAACATAAATTCATAGAGAAAGTATATGTTAACATTATATCGAAACATCTGTTTATGTTTTCCAAAACAACTAACCACATAGTTAAGGGATCAGAAAAATATAAATCTGTAAACATGTTTTGTACTTTAAATGAGGGAAATAAACGTGTGTTATGGATTTGACCGAAAAAGTCTGTGAGTTTAAACTGTGTAGAAATTCTGTGAATTAAACTGCACAACCCAAAAGAAACAATGCTAATCAAAAGGATAAGAGTTGGTTCACTATAGAACAAAATCATTGATTTTATTTGAGATCTTTGTATTTATGAGGAAAAAAAGCTTTGTTATGGATGATACTTCTCTCTGTTTTGGATGTGAAATTGCCACTGTGACTTTGGTAAATAACATATAATAGTTTGAGAACATTGACAATGACATTTTTGAGTATTTTACAGTCCTGTAAAATACAAGCCTATGCTAAAAACTTAGAAAGTGTTTCACTATTTTGGTAAAAAACATTTTTTTCATGGCAAAGTTGACATTTGCATGGAATTGCTCATATGTAGTAATCGCAAAAAGTTTTTTTTTCCTGCTTTCAGTTAGCAAAAAAGTGTCATCCTTGAAATTTATGTAAATTTTATGAGGAAAATTAAACTGTAAACGCTCTTTTGGCTGACGGATCACTGTATTGTTGTCTAAGTTGAGCATATGAACACACCAGGGTTGCACGGTTTACCAGTACTATGGTAGTATCATGATACCATTGCTCCAAAATACTGTCTGTGCCACTGTAGTTTGTAAACAGTAGTATCGTCATTAATGGTCTATCTACAATACATAATGTTCCATGTGGAAAAGTTACTAAAATCCTCACACGTTTTTGCAACAAACTGTAGAATTCATGTTTTTTTGGTTGCCTATTGCATGTTTTGACGCTTCAGTTCAAATCTGAATCAGTTAGTTTCTGTTCCTGTCAATATGGTTCAGTAGCTTCAACAACCACAGCAATCTCACAAAGTGAGCGACTCACAAAGTGAAATTTGAAGTTACTTTGGATTCTTACCTGATAAGACTGAAAAAAAAACAATAGAGGAAAAAGCCAAAATAGCAACAGACGTAAAAAAACTACTTCATGTAGCTTAATTTTCTTGGAATAATGTTTTTTTTTGTAACTAATTTTGTTGGGTATAATTTGTATCTTTATTTTAATGTGTTTATTTGCTGGTCATTTATCTACAAAATAAACAAAAGGAGTGAATATATTTTAGGTGAAGTGAGGTGCAAATAATACTTTTTTTCAGTAATAGGGCAATTATGAATTATATTCCAGTAGGCCAATCATAACATTTTAAAATATAGTGTTTCTGACAGTGTTCTTTATTTTATAGATTTGATTTATGAATTACAGTATTGCAATACTACTTGGTATCACAATACTTCAGCAGGTATAGTATCGTAATATAAACTAGATATTAAAGTTTGAGGACAAACTTTATGGTGGCTTGAAAAGCCGAATCTGAAAGTTTGAAGTGGTTGAATTAGCATGTTACTAGCATGATTCTAGCATGAATTAGCATGCTACTAGGATAATTCTAGCATGAATTAGCATGTTAGTAGCATGATTCTTACATGAATTAGCATGTTGTTAGCATGATTCTAGCATGAATTAGCATGTTACTAGCATGATTCTAGCATGAATTAGCATGTTGTTAGCATGATTCTAGCATGAATTAGCATTTTACTAGGCGGTTGCTAGGGTGTTTTAAGTGGTTGCTAGGTGGTTGCTAAGGTGGTGCAAGGCAGTTGCTAAGGTGGTCTGACTAGTTGCTAGGTGGTTGCTAGGGTGTTGCTAGACGGTTGCTAGGGTGTTTTGAGTGGTTGCTAGGTGGTTGCTAAGGTGGTGCTAGGCAGTTGCTAAGGTGTTCTGACTAGTTGCTAAGTGGTTACTAAGGTGTTGCAAGGTGGTCGCTAGGGTATTCTGAGTGGTTGCTAGGTGGTTGCTAAGGTGTTGCTAGGCGGTTGCTAGGGTGTTCTGAGTGGTTGCTAAGGTGTTGCTAGGTGGTTGCTAAGGTGTCCTAAGTGGTTGCTAGGTGGTTGCTAGGGTATTCTGAGTGGTTGCTAAGGTGTTGCTAGGTGGTTGCTAGGGTGTCCTGAGTGGTTGCTAGGTGGTTGCTAAGGTGTTGCTAAGGTGTTGCTAGGGTGTCCTGAGTGGTTGCTAGGTGGTTGCTAAGGTGTTGCTAGGCGGTTGCTAGGGTGTTCTGAGTGGTTGCTAGGTGGTTGCTAAGGTGTTGCTAGGTGGTTGCTAAGGTGTCCTGAGTGGTTGCTAGGTGGTTGCTAAGGTGTTGCTAGGCGGTTGCTAAGGTGTTGCTAGGCGGTTGCTAGGGTGTCCTAAGTGGTTGCTAGGTGGTTGCTAAGGTGTTGCTAGGTGGTTGCTAGGGTGTCCTAAGTGGTTGCTAGGTAGTTGCTAAGGTGTTGCTAGGCGGTTGCTAGGGTGTTCTGAGTGGTTGCTAGGTGGTTGCTAAGGTGTTGCTAGGTGGTTGCTAAGGTGTCCTAAGTGGTTGCTAGATGGTTGCTAGGGTGTTCTGAGTGGTTACTAAGGCGTTGCTAGGTGGTTGCTAAGGTGTTGCTAGGTGGTTGCTAGGGTGTCCTGAGTGGTTGCTAGGTGGTTGCTAAGGCGTTGCTAGGCAGTTGCTAGGGTGTTGTTAGTGGTTGCTAGGTGGTTGCTAAGGTGTTGCTAGGCGGTTGCTAAGGTGTCCCAAGTGGTTGCTAGGTGGTTGCTAAGGTGTTGCTAGGTGGTTGCTAAGGTATTCTGAGTGGTTGCTAAGGCGTTGCTAGGCGGTTGCTAGGGTGTCCTGAGTGGTCGCTAGGCCCTTACTAAGGCATTACTAGGCCGTTGCTAGGTGGTTGCTAGGCGGTTGCTAGGGTAATTTGGGTGGTTGCTAGGCAGTTGCTAGGGTACCCTGGTTGGTTACTAGGCAAGCCTCACATACATGATTGATAAAACATTTATACTTAGTAAGCATTTCTAGCAAGTTACAGTACTGGGCTAGTCAATATTAGCATGTAGCTAGTCACTGCTAGCATGTGTAGCATATAGGAAGTTCCGTTTGCTAGCATGAGTCAAACGAGCCAATCTCCAAGTCTCTACGATGTTCTGATGCTGAGATATAGCTGTTGATGAATGGTTGCTAGGGTACTCTGTTTTGTTGCTATGGGCGAGGTTACAGAGTGAACTTGAATGTGGTTGGTTGTCTTAGTCGAATGAACCAACCCCCATGTCTCTATGACACTGCTATGCAAAGATATGCATCTTGGCCTATTTTAATGGAAGTCTATGGAATCAATTTGGGGGCGTGGCTTGTGAGCTTTATTATCATATTGAGATGCTCATTGGTTGTCTGAGTCAGATGAGCCATCCCCCAAGTCAATAGGACACTGCTATGCAAAGATATGCATGTAGGCCAGTTATTAACATGAGTCTAGTTTGAATTAGCATGTTACTAGCATGATTCTAGTACAAATTAGCATGTCATTAGCATGTTTCCAGTATGAGTTAGCATGTCATTAGCATGATTAGCATACGAGTAGCATGTTGCTAGCATGATTGGCATGTCATTAGCATGTTAGAATTATAAGCATTTGATAGCACAGCTAATTACATTCTATAGGACAGTTGCTAGGGTGCAGTATGTGGTAGTTAG